TCAGCACAGAGCCCGACGCAGGGCTCGAACCCACGAACCGCGAGATCATGACCTAAGCAAAAGTCGGACACTTAACCGACTAAGCCACCCAGGAGCCCCTATTTTTAATGTTCTTTATTTTTGTTTTATTTTCTTGTGAGCTGTAGCCCTCCCTTCCTAAATTCAAGTTCCATATAGCTTAGTCCTCTGATGTGACCAGTGCAACTCTGTAGCTTCGCTGCTAAATTCCTAGTGTTTTCCTTTTCTGATTAGTGTAATATTAATCTAAATATATTTCTATTCAGAAATAATTGTATAGTAACTGTTCACATGTGGAAGGCAGCGTATCGATAAGTGGAAAGATTGGACAATCCACCTGAAGAAACATACCCATCTTCAGGATTCACTGATGATATACACCAAATCAGCATTCTTAGTTTTATTCTTTTTTTAAGTTTGTTTATTTTCAGAGTGAGTATGTCTGGGAGGGCTGGAGAGAGAATCCCAAGCAAGCTCCACACTGTCAGTGAGAAGCCCAATGGTGGGCTCGAACTCACAAGCCATGAGATCATGACCTGAGCTGAAATCAAGAGATGGATCCGTAACCAACTGAATCACACAGGCGTCCTCATATTCATTCTTAATCTGTAAGGAATGGTGATGTCCCCTGATGTACACTGAGAAACTTCTCTTTTACTGATGAATTCTAAATTGCTAGTTGAGCCTGACCTGTCCAGACTTATTTGATTCATTATGAAAAACATGAACCAGCACACCATGGGGTCAGCATTACGGTGAGGAAATGGTTCTCCCCCTTATCCTTGGGGGTCACCTGAGGCACGTGGATACCCTCTGCCTCTGATCAGGGACCTGAGTGTAGAGAAAATTTCAAGATAAATGAAGAATGAGATGAGCTGTTGTTATAATTCCACACAGTCCACTAAAATCAGAAAAAACCTCTATCCATTCTAGGGCCTTTAGCAGATCCAGAAACTGGTGTGACCTCTGTGAGTTACAGCAGCTCTGACTCTACCAAGAATGTAGACAATGACAAGGTAAATGCTGAAGCCATTCTCAGTGGTAACTCTTTCGGGAAACCCTCCTCCTTCTATACAGCATGCTCTCCGGACTTTGTCTGGTTTTATGTGTTGTGTGATATGTCTGCTTGTTATTTGTTTTCCAAGGGCACACCACTAGCCCAGGAGCCCACAGGCTTCTCTGTTTTCAGTCTGTCATCTTTTTGTAGTAAGTTTAGAAGCCCAAAGTGCTTAGAGGCTGAGTACCTTAAGACTTTTCTATGTATTTCTGGAAATAATGAGAGGAGGATGACCCCACACTCCAAATAGAAGTCTTCTGGCCTGGGTGACCCCTTCCAGGCCTCAATTATGTGGGAACAGTGTGGCTGCTGTGTTTTCCTTTCTTGATTATGGCTAGAAGCTAGGAGATTAACCTGTTAGAAAGTCTGCCATGTTGGTTAAAATTTACTTCACTGTACCCTTCAATTGTGTTTACATGAGCCGTTTCTGGTTGTGTCCCCAGTCACTGTTCGAGCTGATGCAGTCCCATGACACATCCCAGGAGTTTTATGCCAGAAAGCAAAGCACATTTGCATTAAATCTGCTATGTGATTTTCTGCCTCTTTTTTCTGTTGGACATAATGACTCTGTCCTGTAGCCTGCTTAAAATCAGAATTCCCCATGAATTAAGATGAACACACCTGAGCTTTGTAGACATTCACAAGTACCTTGTTCCTCACAGCTTTCCCCTGCAAGAGTCCAGGCAGCCTCCACTCCCCAGAGGTCCCCGAGGCCGTTGACAGCACTTAAGAGGGAAGACCCCTTTCTCAGGGAGAGGAGCAGAGGGGTCACAGTGAGGGGCTGGCTGGAGAACTTTCCCCAGGAGTGGCTGTGATTCCAGGAGCAGAAGAGGAGCGGTTCGTTCACACTCATTGTTTTCTGTGTGTGTGTGTTCTTCATATACCAAACACAGAGCATCTGCAGGTGCCCCCGAGGAGGGATGCAGGGTGAACCTGGACATGGAAGTCTGTCCGTCTGGAGAATGCTACTTCATCAGTCTGTAATTACCTCTGTGAATCCTCTACGACAGGACCCTTGCCATCTGACTTTTGCAAACATGGGCAGTGATGTGTGGTGACAGGAGTTTCACCTCTTGCATCTACTGCTCCAAGCGGCAGGTGGTACCCAGTGGCAAGGACAGAGTTTTCAGGTACTGATGCTACTCTCCTAGATCCTGGTGGCAGAGAAGGTGGCAGGTGCTGACACGTTCTTCTCTGGGCTTCAGCTGCTTTTGGTGTTGGTTCTCTTGTCTGGCAGATGCACGTAGCTGTCACTTCTGTCCTGCAGGGCAGTGTGGCTCTATGGGGACCTCCTCCATTAACTGGAACTTTCTGCATGCCCTACCCTGGAGGCCCGCTGATGGGCTTCTGGGCACATCCACCTCCTGAACCCCTCCATCTGCAGCACTTGGTAAGATGACTTGGGCAGTAGGAGTTGATCTGCAAAGCACCCTCCTCTTATTTTTGTTGGTGTTGGGTCTTTGGCCAAAGTGCAGAGGTGGTACCACAGACCATTGCTCTGCAAGGGAAATGTGTCTGCCGCCATTACCACATTCCTCAGGTCTCTCATGATTGACAGATCATCTTTGTCACGGTTGGTACAAGTATCTCTTGTGGAGAAGGAATGGGGCTGTCTGCAGAGAAGCAGACATAGCAGTTCAGCAGAAATGCCTGTGCACCATCCATGTGCTGAGCACTGTGAGGCACGAGGCACAGCCTAACGTTTGTCCATCTAGTCGTGCCCCCAGCCGTCCATACTCATTCGATGAGTGATGTATTAATACATCTGAATCAGGGCTTGTAGGGGTCTTCATCAAGTTATAAGGGATGGTTCTTCACGTCCTTCCTGGGCATCACCTGAGGCATGTGGGATACCCTCTGCATGTGATTTGGGATTAGACTGGGGCCAAGTTTTTAAGTTCTCTGAGGAATGAAGGGAGGATTTTTTGCTTTAGAACCTTCAAACAGTCTACTCAAATCAGAATAAACCTCTATCCCTTCTAGGGCCTTTAGCAGATCCAGAAGAAGGTGTCACCCCCGAAAGTGCCATGAATACCGACTGTACCCAAACTGCTGAGAAGCACAAGGTAAATGCTGTGGCCATTTTCAGTTGTAAGTCTTTCCCGACACCCACATCGTTCTGTACAGCACACTCTCCTTCCATGGTCTCTGGTTTGTGTGTTGTATGCTATGTCTGCTGGTTTGTTTTTTTTCCCAAATGCAGAGCCTTTACCCCCAAGGCTACGGATCTCCCTGTCTTCCACCTGGCATCTCTTTGTGGTAAGTTTAGAAGCTAACTGTGTGTACGGGTGAGGACCTTAGGGTCTTCCCACTGTGTTCCTAGGGTAAGTCGAGGAGGACAACACCACACTCCCCTTGGAAGCCCCCCGGCTCGCCTTATTCTTTCAGGGCCTCCTCAGTGTGGAATCGTTGCTCTTGCGGTTTCTTCCTTTCCGGTTTCTATCAAGGGTTTTAACGTATTCAGAAAAATCTGTGGATCTCCATACAATTTGAAAATGTAAACTGCCTGGGGCGCCTGGGTGGCTTAGTCGGTTAAGCGTCCGACTTTCGCTTAGGTCATGATCTCGCGGTTCGAGCCTCGCGTCGGGCTCTGTGCTGACTGCCAGCTCAGAGCCTGGAGCCTATTTCAGAGTCTGTCACTCCCTCTCTCTCTGACCCTCCCCTGCTCACGCTGTCTCTCTCTCTCCTAGAAATAAATAAAAAAAATATATAAAAAAAATAAACTTTAAAAGAAAATGTAAACTGCCTTCACTCCAACCTATATTTTGATATGCATCATTTTTACAGTGGTCTTAAATGAAGGAAACACTCAACATGCCATCTTTTTTGGTAAACATGCTGTCTAGAATCCCTTTAGGTGTGCCCTGGGTATAAATATCCTGAACTCTAAGAGGTGACATATTTATCATAGAAAACATGCACTGAAACTTATGTTATGAAGAGAAAAAAAATCCAAAATTACATGAGTGGCAAGTCCCCACCGTGTCCTTCACTTGTGTTCACATGATCAGGTTCTGTTGTGTCCTTTATCATGGGCAGAGCTAAAACATGGATATTTATACCAGAAATCAAGGTCCATTTGTGTTTTGTTATCTAGAATTTCAGCCCGTTTTTCCAGAGGGCAAATTTACCCTATAAATTGTACTGTACTTAGGCCGAGAAGTACCTCTGCATGAAAATGCATTAGCTGAACGCAACTAACATGTGTAGGTTACCTGTTTCTCTAAGAGCATGCTTTTCCTTGTCGTCTCTTGGACCTCAGGATCCCCATTGCCCCATGTGTCTCTGTGCCCATGGATAGCACTTCCAGAGAGCAGAAGACCCTATTGTCAGGAGAGAAGCACATCGGGCACAGGCAGGGGCTCAGAGGCAGAGCTTTGAGCCACAAAGGCTATGATTCCATGTGTGGATACTGGGATTTCCATCCTTTCTCATTCTGCAGTTCTTCACATACAAATACGCAACCTCTAGTGGAGGGGGAAGAGGAGTGGAGGGTGATCCTGGACTTAGATGCCTTCCTATCTGGAATATGCTAGTTTGTTAATTTGGTATTAAGTCCATAAAACTTCTACCAAAATGCCCCTTGCTGTTCTACATTTCCAGACATGTGGGGACACTAGTTTATCCCCAAAATATCAATTCACCCCCTCAAAGCTGTAAGCAGAACCCAAAGTATGGGTAGAGGTTTTGGTGCGGATTCTGCCCTCTTGGAACCTGGTGGCGGGAGATGAG